GAATGGTTATTAAATTTCCTCTGAACAAGCCTTCTCTGAGGGATGAAATGGAAAGCTGTTTTTCAATGATCACAATCTCATTATAAGTGAAAATAAATTAAAGAAACCAAGGCAGATAGTGCAATAAAAGACAAAAATATTTAAATGACTCCAAAGTGAAGATTTATGAAATAATTTTAACATATCTAAAATGTCTGTCTTATAGATGTTCTATCATCTCAATGAGAACACTGACAACTAAAGCAAAGGAGAAAAACAATGTGCAAAGAAAATGATATTAGTTACAAGGGGATTAAAATTAATAAAAACCTCACAAAGTATGGAGCTGAAAAATGAAATAACTATATTGAAAAATTCACTAGAAATGGTCACCAGTAGACTTGATGTGGCAGGCTAAACACTTGGAAACTTGCTAATAGGCCATTTAAAATTATTAGGCAAGAAAGCAAAAAAGGAAATAATGAAGAAAAGTGAAGAGGGATTTAGAGACTTTTCATCATCACGCATGCCAAAATATTTATAGTGGAAGATCTACAATGACAGAAGAGAGAAAAATTAGCCAGAAGACAACCAGAAGAAATGTCTGAGAACTTTCTAAAGTTAAAGGAGAAAATATCATAAATATTAAATAAGCTCAATCTACTTTAACAAGAAACCACAATAGGAAACCCAAATGGGAGACATATCGTATCAAAAATTTTAAAGTTACAAATAGGATCCTCGAATTAGCAACAAAAATGAGACATGGCATGTTCAAGGGCACTCCTATAAAATGATCAATAGGATTTTTTAGCAAAAATTCTGGTCTTTCAGACCAGAAAGGTGTAGGATAATATATTCAAACTGATTTAAAAAAAAATTAAGAAGAATAAAATCTATTTCTGAGAAAAATTTCTTTAAATATAAGCTAATAAAACAGGATGAGCCTGGTGGCTCAGCCCTGTAATTCTAGCACTTTGGGAGGCCTACACAGGTGGATCACCTGAGCTCAGGAGGTCAAGAGCAGCCTGACAAGTGTTAAGACCCCATCTCTAAAAATTAGCCAGGCACTGTGGGGGGTTCCTATAGTTTCTGCTACTTGAGAGGTGAGGAAAGAGGATTGCTTGATCCCAAGAGTTTGAGGTTGCTGTGAGATATGACAATATGGCACTCCAAGGAGGGTGACATAGTGAGAATCTGTATCAAGAAATAAAAAAATAAAAATAATTAAACAAAATGGTAAGTTTGTTTTTTCTTGGCAAAATTTATGAGTTTAAAACAGCAATTAAAACTATAGACAACGGCTGGGTGCCTGTACCTCAGTTGTTAGGGTGCCAGCCAAATATACTGGGACTGGCCTGCTAAATAACAAAGACAACAACAATAATAAATAGCCAAGTGTTGTGGCAGGTCCCTCTACTCCCAGCTACTTGGGAAGCTGAGGCAAGAGAATTGCTTAAGGCCTAGACTTTAAAATTGCTGTGAACTGGCTCGGTGCCTGTAGCTCAACAGGCTAAGGCGCCAGCCACATACACCTAAGGTGG